GGCCCCTATATTACACTTACATCTGCAAGCGTTGCTGGTATCCCAGCAAAACACTGCTGCGCTCACGCTGCCGCATTGTCGATCCGGTCCGGCGAACACTGTGCTGGTGGGAGCACGATTTCGGCCAGGACTGCATTGACAGGAGCAGTCCTGACCGCTCAGTCCATTGCGAGCAACACCCAGATGGTGGTCGACAATGCGGTCAGCTTTTGAGGATGACGACTTTGGAGTGTTGGGGAGGTGGCAAGTCTTTTGGCTGGTTGCGGGGTACATAGTTCTTAAATGCAAGCTATGTCCTGGGTATTTTGGGGTAATAGGTGAGTGTTGATGCCGATGCGGATATGTTTTGGAATGTCTTTGTACGTAGCCCACAGATGTTCAACTTGCTGTTGTCACTGATGAGATCTAGAACTGGGCTTTGGAGTACCATACTTTAATACTTTTTTTTGGGACCTGTGTTCCTCAAAGGAACCATTCTGAAATAAAAGTCTATACTTTTTCTCTCTGCTTACTTCAAAGCCCAGATAAACTTGTCCAGGAACCCAAATCTCGAGACCATAGGGTTTAGGGTTTAGGGTTTAGGGTTGAGGGTTTAGGGTTTCTTCAAGTCCGAATCGTCATGGGCCTCGTGAGATTTCTATAGAAGATAGTCTTGATTCAAGTCAATTTCCGTGGTAATAAACCTTAAACCCTAAACCCTAAACCCTAAACCCTAAAATCCTAAACCCCATAAACCCTGAAGCCTGCCCTGCGATGCGGATCCTGTCCTAGCCAGGCGAGACGCATCCAAAGCAACCCCAGGCCCTGAACCCTTAAAGCCATACTACTGTTGATGATATAAATCCTGCATGACCTTAAGGACCCTAAAATATGGGAGTTGTGGTATATTCCTTATTATGGGCAATGCAGGAATTATATCATCAACCGTATGTTCATGGGTTAATATAGAAGCCTAAACACTTACCAATCTTACTGCTAGGGGTCCTTACAAAAATAATAAGATACAGGAGCCCAACACCCTATTCTAATTATTAAGGCCCCTACATTACACTATCTTCGTGTTCTTGGTTGACGCTGGCTGGTCTAGCTGCTAGCTTCTCCGGTAGTACGAACAGGCACAGTGAGACCATGCCTGTGGCTTCTCCGAGTTGCGAGAGCACAATCAAAGCCGTAAGCACAAAATCCTAGACCTGAAACTCTCAACCCCTAAACTCTGAAAATCTGCACGCTATAGGTAGCCCTTGTGCAGACGCAGCAACTTACCCTTATTGTTATAGTCATGCAAACAGAAACCTCATGTACTGGAATACTACAGCTTAACCTAAACCCTAAATCCTAAACCGTTTGGCACGTCTGGGATTTAGAGGTCGCAGCCATATCGCGTGACGCGCTGGGAAGGCCTTGCGTCATGCACTCGACGGTTAAGGGTTTCGAGGTTTAGGGCCAGGGCTTTAGGGTTTGAGGGTTTAGGGTTTAAGGTTTAGGGTTTAGGGTTTAGGGGACATGAACCTTGAAGGAGATTGATGGGTTTTCGGTCTATGCTTTTCGGGTTCGGGCTTTAGGGTTTGGTGCTTTGGAATGTTTGGTGGTTCTGTAGGCCACTGCCAAACCATCAACATCGTTTCCCGTAAACCTTGCAAATCTGAACCTTGTATCAAGACATAAGCTCTGTTGAACTAAAGCGTGATGGGAAACGTAGTCTAAAGCCCTGAACCCACGTAGACAGTCTAGAGCCCTGAACCCATACAGTGCACATGTATATGCTTCCTGTCAGTGGCAAGGGCAACAGATCTGGATGGTGGCTTAACTGTACGGACAGACTCGTACTCCACCCTAAACCCTAAACCCTAAGCCCTAAACCGAACAACACGGTTGCTTGTGTTGAGGCTTCCACACAAAACTGTCCAAACACAACCGTACAAGGCCTGGTTTCAGACCAAACCCTGTTGAAACCTCTTTCAATCACAAACCCATAGGCCCAAAGCCCTGCTCTGTTAGACTGAGTCTTTAAATCGATGCAGCCGGGAACCATGAAACCATAATTGACTGGCCTCTTCTGGTGCACAGTGTGCTTGTTTCTAGTGTGTCTGAAGGCCTGAATGTACCTTTTTACGGGTGTCGTGTTGATGAGCGCATTACCCGAAAGTCCACTCGTTGAGTCCCTGATCCTGTTCTTCTCAGCAGTGAACTCAGTGAAGGGCTGAAACTTCGATGTGCAGCTTGGATCAGGCAGCAGGATTTGTGGGATTTCGGCGGCAAAGCAGGGTTGAGGGTTCGGGGCCAGGATTCACGGTGCGCATCATTCCGTGGACCCTGTCTTGCTGCCTACCCAGAGACTCCAATATCCCTTAATTAAGAATCCATATTCAGGGTCCTACTATAGTTTTGAGGAATATTCCTTAATTAAGGGATATTGGCGTCTCTGGGTGCTGCGCAGCTGCATCACCACAGGACGGTGGGAGACGCATTGCGGATGTGAAGACATCTCGATACGGTTTAGGGTTTAGGGCTTATAGGGTTTAGGGTTTAGGGTTTAGGGCAGTAGTAATGCAACACGCTGTGTTGCAACGGAAATGGTTTTGGCGGGCACTCCTTTCAATATTGCTGACCGACTTGGGCTTGGTGATCTTGTGATTACGTCGGAAGTTGTCTCTGATGTCTGATGTGCCCGCCGCGCCCGCCCAGGTCGTGACTCAAAAACAGGGTTTACAGCCCCCATTCCCCCCAAAGCCTGATGCCTTAATCAAACCTGAAACCGGAGACATCAGGGGACTTAGAAAGTGGAGTGTGAAGTAGGATAACTATCGCTCTATCTTCGAGCATCTGCTTACAAGTCCAAACTGCACCAGTTCCCTCATCCCTAAACCCTAAAGCCCTAAAGCCCTAAACCCTAAACCCCTAAACCCTAAACCCTAAACCCTAAAGCCTAAAGCCCTAAAACCCTAAACCCTAAACCCTACAGCCCTACAGCCCTAAACCCGGTAGGTAACCCCAAAGCCGAGAATCTTGGTGCCAGGCTTGAGCGCTACGGTCTTGCCTTTCACTGGCGACTACGTTCGTCTCTATGACATGGAGGAATGATGGGCCGTTGGGAGTTGGTGGTTTAGGGTTTAGGGTTTAGGGACTGAGAGGGTTTAGGGTTTAGGGTTGAGCTGGTGTTGAAAGTTAGGGTTTAGGGTTTAGATCTCGAAAGGGTAGGGAATTCGGGGGCTCGGGGTTTAAAAATACTGTTGATGATAAAAGTCCTGCATTACTCTAAACTATGGGAATTATGGTATATTCCTTTTTATGGAGAATGCAGGGTTGTCATCATCAACCGTGTGGCTTGACCGCCCTTGGGGTTGAGGGAGAGGTGCGTGATGGCGGTCTTGCATGAAGGCCCAGAGGGTCCATATGGGTGGTTGTCAAAATTAGGGTCCCTTTTTGGGTCCTTATTACAATATGGCACCTATTATTTAGGGTATCCCAAAAGGGACCATAATTTTGACAACTACCCATATACACCACCATTATGGAAGTAGGTCGCAAAAGACCATCCTTATTAGGGTTTTGGGGGGCCTAATTCCATAATAGTAGTATATATGGACCGTCTTGGTTGCAGGCTGGATCATGGATTTCGTGTTGGGATGGTGAAAGTCGATTACGGAAATTGTCCTTGCCCAGAACGGTGATGCCGGCGCAATGAAGACCGTCAAAGTTCACGCCGAAAGCATGTATGTATTGTTTAGGGGCTGAATGTGTAACCTTTAACCTTTAGCCTCAGGGCTTTTTGGTTGGTCTCGTTGCTGGGGCTGATCTCATCATTTGTTGTTGTTTCCATGCACTGTCAACGCAGATTTGCCTGCGTATGCTTACAGGTGTTATGCGTTTGTTATGTAAGTTTGTTCGTGACATTCTGATTGTTTACTGCTTACTGAGTCCTGTACAGTTGTGATGCTGTGCTTGTACGAGCTGCTGCCTTGCATTCGTTACATGTTGCTGGCAAGTGCATCTTCTCTGGTGTTGGCGGTGCTTTGAAGCAAGGTTTTCTCAGACATGTAGCCGTCCACAAACGGCCGATCTACTTGTCGGCATTTCCCCTTTGTGATGCTCCTAGTTTACCCTGGTTAACATCCCTGCCCGCATCCAAAACCTTCTGAAACTTCGACTTAAGCCCAAAACCCTGAAGCATGAACCCTGAACCAAAATACCAACCGTACAGCACAGTGCTTCGGCCCTGGCCTACGCCCCAAGGTTTCCCTCCCTAACCCTAAGCACACATCACCCCCCGTGTTCGATGTGGGGTTGATGTTTAGGTTTAACCTTAAACCCTTAAGCCCTAAACCCTAGACCCTGTTCGATGTGGGGTTGATGTTTAGGTGTTGGGTTCATTGTTCACGGGAACCCAGGCCCGGAAGCCAGTGTAATGTGGGGGACTTAATAATTAGAAATACTATAACTATGATAAGGAACCCCCCAAAATAGTATAGATACTTATTAAGGCCCCTATATTGGGTTTAGGGCTGAGGGCCTCCAGATCTCAGCTCGAGCTTTCGTTGCTGGAAATGACAGTCCAGCAAGGGTTTAGGGTTTAGGGTTTGGCTTTGTTGCCTGTGGATGCACGAGTCATCGCTGTGCCGGGCAGCTTGGAGGCGCTTCAGAGAGACCTCGTTCAAAAGGGTATGGCCTTTTGCTGAAACAGTTCGAGCACGGCATTGGCGTTTTCATAGAGTTACCTGCAGTAGAGCATCGGATTGTGCTACTGGAGTGGCCCTACACCAGAGACTCCAATAACCCTTAATTAAGGAATATACCTTAAATCATATTAAGGATCCTACTATAATTTAAGGAATATTCCTTAAGTAAGGAATATTGGAGTCTCTGAGTACACCCGAATCACAACCACCTTGCCCTATGCTCTATACTGAGTGATAACCTAGAATGAAACTAAACTATGCTATATCCCCCGACACCTTACGATGTTACCCGGAAACCTACAGCCTAATTAAACCTCCGGCGAGGACTTCGAGGAGCATGAGGCTTGGGTGCCACAGCTTTTCGAGCCAGTGAGGCCCGGGCCTAAGTATGAGTTTAGCTGGATTTAGGATTTAGGGTTTTGGGGTTTAGGGTTTAGGGTTTATGATGCAGGGTTTGGTGTAAAAGGGCGTAGGGTTGAGGGTGTAAGGTTTAGGGTGTAGGTAGTACAGGAGATATTAAAACACCGAGCAATACTAATCGTTGGGGTTCTCTCGCTTGGGTTGATATTCAGAGAGGGTAATTATGATGCGGCCGGACCTGCTGGAGGGTGGAGTGTGTGGGACCTACCTGCACAATTGGTTGTCAAAGCCATGATGTGCTTCTTAGCCGTGTCATCATGCTCACTACCGCTTTAGCTAGGCATTCTTCCTTGAACTGTCATCATCCAGAAATCCACATCATACTCATCTCGGTGCTGCTGTCTACTTCCTTTGGCTTCACCTGCAGCCTCCGCCTCTGATCGTTGGGTTTGGATGGCCCAAACTCGTTAAGGCTTTAGCCCCGAGCCTTGATCCGTAGAAAGCTAAACCCTCAAGCCCTAAATTTCAAGCCTTTACCCGGGAACCTGGAGTTTCAGCCTAGACCCTCAACCCCCCACGCCTCGCTTCGAGAGGAGTCCTAACCTTCTGGGGGGGGGCTACCATGTATTCCGAATCTTAGTTCTCCAATATCCAACCTTTAAACTTTTCGGGCTCTTATACTTCAGTAGTAATCTGAAAGTTTAACTTTTTTTTTGCCTGGCTTCGTGGGGAAGTAAGGAATAGCTACACCGCACGCCCTGCATCCAAATCTAGAATCTAGACCCGCGGCTCCAGGTCCTCTGTTGAAGTGTCTTGGGTACGGTCAGATGTGGGGGTTTCCGAAAATAGGGGACCCTAATATAGTACCCTAAATAGTAGGATCCTTATTATAAGGACCCCTAAATAAGGTACCCCAAATTTTCAGAAACTCCCATGTGTGATAGGGTTGAAGGCTGAAAGTTTACGACAAGGTTTACCTGGCGTTCTTCTTGTTGGCTCTTAGGACTAACCTTTTGGGTCACTCTATGAACTATATCAAGTTGGCTAAAATTTTTACTTGTAGGAGGGGTTCAGAAGTCAGCCAAGTTTAGAGCTTGCATAGTGATCGGGAATCCGATGCAGAATTCAGAGCAGGGTCACTTCCAAAAGGCACCATGCGTGAAGACCTTGAATTCATCTAAAGCTTAAGCCCTATGAACCCTAAAATTGCACAGCTCCTGCTAGGAGCAAAATCCACTCGGACACCACACAAATCTGGCACAAACCCCACGTGAGGCTTCCATGGAATGAGGCGGTAAACCCTGAACATTGGACCCTGAGCACAAAAATTCACCGAACCCTAATTCCTAATTATAGAACCCTTCTAGAAACCCAAAAAGCGAACCCTGTGAAATTTTTATGGAACATTTACAGAACTACATATATATATATATAGATATATGTATATACATATTGTAGAACCCCCCCAAACCTTCTTAGAGCAAAGACGCCTAGCAAACCTAGGCTGAAGTTCTTCGTCCGGCCGGTTGTGCCGCAGGCACCATGCCGGTGTTGTGTTAGGGGGCTCTGGAGCTTCGAGTGTTTAGGGTTTAGGGTTCAGGGTTTAGGGTTTAGGCTTTAGGGTTTAGGGTTTAGGTAGTAGACTAGCTAACCCGCAACTTTTTGGGGGTATTATAACTCTACATAATCCCAAAGGTTAACCGTTAATTCGTTTAGGATACTGGACAAGTAATTGGGCTTGGAGGATGACAGAGGCTGTGCGCTCAGGGTCTACTCCTGTTTCACCGAAACCGAATATACACACTTACGTATCACTGCAGTGTGACATGTTTCCCCAACCCGTTCCGAAATCCTAAAAAAATAAACTCTGCAAGGCAGGCGCGGATCCACACGACGTGTGGATCCGTGCCTGCCTTGTGCGAGAGCGCGTGTCGAAACTCCACAAGCGGCTTTCTGTGTTTCTTCCCGGCAAGCTCCTGAACCAGGACAGCCTCTAGTTACACTATGCCAAGCCTAAAAACATTGAGTGAAACCTGAAACTGGAGAAAAAAAGCATATGGGCAGTTCTCTAAACCAGGATCCCTTTTTTTAGGTCCCCAACATAGTACGGCACCCTTATAAAACGGACCCTAAAAGGGACCCTAACTTAGAGAACTACCCATATGCAAACACTGAGACAAAAAGGACATCCTCTTCTTCCTGCTCGAAGAGACGGATCCGAGCGCTTCCGTGGTCGTTCTGGCTGCGGTGCATCCGAAGGTGCGGCTTTCTTCAGGGTTTGCTTTAATAAGGGTTTAGGGTTTAGGCTTTAGGGTTTGCTTTAATATAGACCGGCTTGGGGCGTAGGGATTAAAGAACCCTTTTGCATAGTACTGGTTATCATCGAGAAATGGAAGTAAAGGGTGTTCCTGGATCAGGCGTCGTCTACGTTAAGGGGTTTTAAACAGCTTCTTAAGGGTGCTTAAACTACTGGGTTTAGGTTGCTCCCAGGGTTGTGTGCTAAGTTTAGGGTTTGGGAGCTTTGGGATGTTAGGGCTTACGAGGTTGGGATTAGGAGCTGGGGCATTTAAGGGCTAGGGTGTAAATAGGGGCGACAATCATCAAATAGATATTTCGGGTCGCGGGACTTAGAGTTGCAAGTGCCCTAATCCTACAGTTGGCCCTGCTTAGTAGCTGCTTGCTAAGCCTAAAGCCTAAACCCTAAACCCTAAACCCAAAGCCTTTCAGAAAGTCTCGGGGATTAGGGGCCTTGGGATCTGGGTCTGGTGGCTTTCGGGGCTCAGTTTGGGGGTTCACGGTATTACGGATTTGGGGCTTTGGGCTTGCAGGGTTTGTAGGGTTTAGGGTTCAGTGTTGTAGGCTGAAGGGCGTTATTGTCTAGGACAGTTTCAGGTGGGTAGTTACCGTTGTAGGAGCCTTATAGAAGGTCTATATATCTTGTAGAAGCCCTATATACCCTAAACTTCCCACCTGTAGTTTCCTGTAGTTTTAGGGTCCTTTTTATAAAAGGGTGCCGTAGTACATTGGGGACCTAAAAACGATCAACCTAAACCCTAAACCCTAAACCCTAAACCCCAAGGATTCGGGGAGTTGTTGGGGGGTTTGTTTGGGAGCCTCGGGTTTAGAGTCTGCGGAGGCTTAGGCAGCGTGTCAGCTCGACCATGAGGAAGGAGGGTTTAGGGTTTCGGGTTTCGGGGTTTAGGGTTTAGCGGTTTAGGGGTTTGGGGTTTAGGGTTTGCGGGAAAACTGGTTTACTGCAGAGGTTTCTGTAGTCACAGCTTTATCCATGTCTTCATTTATCTACGTGCCGATTCTGCACGATATGCACGCTTTTTTCAAAGCATGGGTCCTGAAGCTGAGTTCTTCAATAAGAACCCTAAACCGTAAACCCCTAAACCCTAACCCCTAAACCCCTAAACCTTAACCCTAAACCCCTAAACCCCTAAACCCTAAACCCTAAACCCCTAAACCGCTAAACCCCTAAACCCCTAAACCCTAAACCATTAAACCCCTAAACCCCTAAACCCCTAAACCCTAAACCATTAATTAAAGCCCTCGTCGTCGGGCTTCCTAGGATTAGGGCGGCTGCCTTAAATTTGTGTCGCGGTATTCAGGATCCCTGGCTGTGGGGCTTTAGAGTTCAAGCGGGTTTAGGGTTTAGAGCTTGGGGT